GACCATCTGCCCAGGAATGGCTCTGTCCACAGTGAGCTGGATTCTCCTAGATGAATTATTCGTCACGAAAACGCTCCTACTGACTTCCTATTTTTTCAGCTGGGGTTTTCTCTTCCAAGATAACTCTAAGTTATGGCAAATTAACAAACACCTAGCATTCCTATTGTTCTGACTGTACTCATAAACCCTGTTGTGTCTTTTTGAGTTTGCATGAAAGATTAAAGCAGTGGCCGGATAAAGCGCTCTCTCTCTCTCTCTCTCTCTCTCTCTCTCTCTCTCTCTATATATATATATATATATATATATATATATATATATATATACACATATACTGGTTTTCTCCATAACTTGAATTCAAATGTCAGTACCTACACCAGGCAGCTCGCCACCAGTTGTAATTTCACCTCCAGAGGATCTGACATTTCTGTTCTCTGCAGCACCTGTACTCCAATGTGTACACACACACACACACACACACACACACACACACACACACACACCCATCCACACACACTCTTAAAATAACAAAAATAAATTTCTTTTCAGAGGAATGTTAGTCCCTGAAGGATGAGGACCCAAGCTACAGGCTGTACAACTGGCCAATGACTGAATCATAATTTCCTTTTATATTTGCTAACTCAGAAATGAAAGATGCTTTTATTAGCAGTGGCTAAGGAAATAAATATTCTTACATCGAACAGAAAAAAAGCACATTTTCCTTCAGAATTTATTCTAGAATTTGAATTACTCTTTCTGCAGCAGCTCCTGTGTAACTGGGATTTAGAGGTCTCTTGTGACCACTTTCCTCCTCTGTGAGTGGCTCTATGTGAACTTCCCTGAGCTGCCAAAGGCTGCTCCGAGTAAGACATGAGAAGGAAGTACTGGGGTCCAGTCTCAGGCAGGATCCATGGAGGCTATCTAGACCGAACTATTGTGCATGGGTTCTGTGGATGAAGAATCTGTTTCCCCTCTCTGGTGCAATGTCTCTGGGCTCTACTGCCAGGTAAACATAAGAATCACCAATGGCTGAGTGACTCACACTAGTATATATGGGGAGTAACTGGGTAATTTTTTATTTACTTATTTATTTATTTATTTATTATGTATACAATATTCTGTCTGTGTGTATGTCAACTGGGTAATTTTTAATTGAGGTGACACCACTGGGACTTCCATGACCATGGGAATGTCCTTATATTCTTCAATTTTTTCTGCTAATAAAGAAAAACCCAATGCAGGGAGTAGTTTCTTTTTTAAAAAAAATATTTATTTATTATGTATACAATATTCTGTCTGTGTGTATTTCTGCAGGCCAGAAGAGGGCACCAGACCTCATTACAGATCTTTGTGAGGCACCACGTGGTTGCCGGGAATTGAACTTAGGACATTTGGAATAGCAAGCAATGCTTTTAACCTCTGAGCCATCTCTCCAGCCCCAGGGAGTAGTTTCAATGGCAACAGGAGGAACTGCCTCCTGGCCACCAGTGATCTACACAAAACCTTTTGCCACCTACCCATACACTTAACCATCAATTGCAGGGCAGTTTTCTTTCTTTTTTCTTCTCTCCTTTCCCTTTTCCCTGTGCCTCTGCCCCTTTCTCTGCCCTCTCCAGAATCCTCCAGGGCACCCAGCAGAGTGGCTCCACTCCTTTCTCTACTTATCTTTCTGCAGCTTTGGATGTGTGCTCTTCTGCTTCCTGATGCGTAAGTTCCCAATCTAAGGACTAAATCCCTCAAATGTTCAAAGGTCCAAGTCCCAAGTCCCAAAGCATGGGGCTTCTGTCCTGTCAGTCATTCTTTAAAAAAACAAAATCTAAATTGTAGGGAAGACTAGGGCAGTGCTCTCAACCTTCCTAATGCTGCGACTCTTTAACACAGTTTCTCATGTGGTGACCCCCAGCCACTAATTTATTTTTGCTGCTAGTACTTCAAAACTGAAGTTTTGCTACTGTTGTGAATCGTAATGTAAAGATCTGATATGCAGACTATCTGATATGGGACTGCTGTGAAAGGGTTGTTCAACCTCCAGAGAGGTCGCAACCCACAGACTGAGAGCTGCTGTTCTAGGTGAAAACAAACTAATATAACAAAGTGGCAACCATTCAAGAGAACACGGAATGGCTTGGTGCTCCTTCCCAATGCATCTGGAACTAGAGCTTTGTCTGTGTTCACAGAATTTAAAGATGCTCATTTGAAACCAGCAAGCCTTCCACCTCTGTTGTTGGCTGTGGCAGTTAGAACCATGACCTTTCTCGACACTTTATACCAACAGTACATAGCTTGAGGCCTGCTACTGTCTGGATCTCAAAAAATTCATACATTGAAAATTAATCATCAATTCAACAGTATTAAGGAAAAGGGTCCTTTGGAGAATAAGTCAAAATGTTCAGCTATCCCCTGTGAATTAGTGCTCTTACAAAAAGCCTGGCTGGGGCTCTGCTCGGTCCTCATTGGCTTTCCTGCCCTGTCCACCAATTGAGAACAGCACGTTCTTGTCTTTGGAAAAAGTTACCAAGATGCCATCACGATAAAAAGCAGAGCCCTCACCCAGACACCAACCCTAATGACACCTTGTTCTTGGATTTTTTCAACTTCTAGAACCGTGAGAGCAAAGTTCTGGTTTTTAAAATTGCTCAGGCTTAGGTATCTTATTACAACAGAACAAGCAGCCTAAGACACAGGCCAAAGTATCTGCAAGCTGGAAACGTCATTAGGATTCTTGCTAGTTGCCACATTACCTTAAGATAGTAACTGCTAACAGGTTGCTGTGGTTTGGAGGTTAACCGTCCCCCTTTCCCCCCGCCAAGTACAAGCATGTTAAAGTCATTGGCCACTAGTCTGTAGTTGCTGGGAAGTTGTGAAACCTTTAGGAGGTGAGGTGTAGGACATTATACCACTGGGGCATATCCTTAAAGGAGATATTGGGCTCCCGACGCCTGCTGCTTTTCACTTTGCTTCCCAACTACTAGGAACCAAACAGCTTTGCTCCTGTGTGAAGGGTCTGGGAAGACTGCAAGCTAACAAGGCCTATGTGGAGTGATGGGTGGGCTATGCACAGGGAGAGACAGGGCAAAGCGATTCATCCCCTCCTCTAGACCACAAAGAATAGTGGAAGAAACAAAGTACTAACTGGACAAACTACAGCCACCAGACCTCACTTTTCTGCTACCCAGTTACGACACAGAGGGTGATATACAAAACTGCAGGGGAGTGGTGAGGCACACTGCCTCATTGGGGACTTAAGTATAGCATAATTACACACACCCTGGGAACCTGAGGGAAACTGCGATGGGGCCGTTGTCATATACATACCAGAGAGCTCAGCTTCTCCTGCAGCTGCTGGTCCCCACTGTCCATCCAGTCTTCCACGGCTGTGTGCTTTCCCCTCTATTATTCCTGGCTTTCCTTCCACACTTCTGACTAGTCCCCTAGTGGGTATAACCTAGTTAAGCTACTTCCCAAAACTTAGGAGCATTTCATATACTGTCTCTGGGGGGAAGCTAGAACCTTCATCATATTGTATTTACAGCACTGGGCTCTTAGTGAGAGGTCGGTGAATGAGTCAACACATGAAAACACATCCATAACAGGGGGAACAGAGAAAATAATGAAACTCACTTTTGCATTCAACAAGTATTTATTAACACAAAAGCGAATAAGGCTTGTCCCTCTGCTCGCAGGACCTGGTGCAGAGAGGCAGACAATCACAAGGCTACAGTAGAATCACAGTTGAAGTACTATTCATCGAGGTGTAGACAAAGTAGTTTGGAGGCACAATAGGAGAGACGGGGGCGATTATCTAATCTATGCCTGCATAGGGGATCCAGGGAAGGCTCCAGAGAAGTCATCTGTGAGTTGGTCTCGAAGGAATGACGTCCCCAGGTGTATAAGAAAGGATCCTTGCAGGCTGGGATTATATCGATCTAGGTGAGGCTAGGCAAGTGAGGGACTCAGGAAATCAGGAATGGGGATGGGGTGGGTGTGACGAGGAAGGAGTTAGCAGGGCTGCTCAAACACAAAGCCACAGTTCTGCTGTAGAAATTAAGGATCGTGTTTCCCCATGAGGCAAAAGACTGGAAGCAGAGAGGGTAGGTGTTTCTCAGACACGGGTCTCTGCCACTTTCTCAGTCAGAGCATGGGGCTGAAACATCAAAAGCCAGAACTTCACAGTTATGATCTAATTTCTCTAAGCCAGAAAATTACTAAAAGCTTCCTTTCAGAAGCTAAGGATATATATGAATAATTACTTCTAAATGGGAAAAATCTTGATGTCATCACTTTTTCCAATATAGTTAATTCTGCATTCACAAAAAACTAAAAAAATACATATGTTCACAAACCATTTTTGTCTTATCATTACTCTCTTTCATTTATATATTTTATATCCATCTATATTTCAATATTCTCAAGTACAAAATAAAAATTTCAACTTTCAAGTAATTCTTATTTACATGTCTTTCAGTTGTCAATTTGTTTGCGAATATTCTTTTTAAACTTAAAATTTGTTTCTATAATTAAATCTCTGTAGTTGAATTTATATAAGGTTCTCTTTTAATATTTGAAATGTTTAGTTTTTGAAATCTTTAAAACCAAATTTCTGTTTCCCTGAATTGTTCTAAACTTTCTTCTTTTAAATCACTTTATCTGTTTTGAACTTGAAATTTCATTTCATTCTATATTTTGACATTTTGAAACTATTATAGGCATGCTTCTGTAAATTTTCGTTGTCCAATGCATATATTTTATGCTTTACATTTTTAGAATCTATGCATTTTTCACTTTAAACATTGAGTTTTTAAAAAGTTTTTTTACTATTTTTAAATTATAGTGTTTCAATAACTACCTTATAAATTTTCATATTTCATCTTAAATTGTAAGAATTTCTAAATACTCTATTTTCACATACTAACAATTTGGAATCATTTTAAATTAAAAACATTTAAAAATATTTCTTCTAAAATACTTAACTTATATTTTGACATTTAAAATGTTCTCTTAAAACTCTCAAAAGTGTTTTTAACGTTTCTCTTTTAAAGCTTTAAAGTTTTTCTTTAAAATATTTGGTTTTTCAGACTATTTGTGCATTCATAACTAGAACTACAATCAATTAAAAACCCCTTTTCTAAAAGACACCCCCACACTTAACACATTATCTTTGAAGAAACAAGAAGCACATAAAAATTTCAGATTATCTGCACCTCCCTCCACCTCGAGACTTCATTTAATCTGCTTTGTGACCCCTTTCAACCTTTCCTCCCCTCCTCCCAGTTCTTAAGGCGAAATGGTCACTGCTCAACGGTTTCTTTCCATAGACCTATGGAACAGGGTAAAATAGTTCCTTTACGCCAAAGTGTTACTTGTCATATAGGTGTTATGGTCACTGTCTACTCCAGGTAGATTTGTGTGTTTCTTTTAGAGGTGCTTGCTGTTGTGAAAGCATTCCAATTGTCCATTCCAGGTAGGCTTGTCTATCGCTGCAGGATTCTTGCTCTTAGTTTTTCTGAAAAGCATTCTGGATGAGATCATTCTTTCTCTATATCCTGCCTCTGATAGAACAGTAAATACCCTTCACTATAGAGTAACTCTTCCATTGTGGCCTTGGTGACAACGGCATCATTACAGCTAAACCACTCGTCTTTCTGCTGACGTATGAAGCTGGTATAATGGCCACTTTCCAGAGTTCCATGGTGGTTAATCACTGCAAACAAAGAATACTTATTCTCACTGGGCACAGACTCTGCTAATGGCTGGCCTTTCATTATGCTTTCTTTAGTAGAAGCCAGAAAGGGTGTCATGTCCAGCTCCAAAGGAAATGAGATAAAAGTATTAATCTTGCGTCTCTGTTTGCCTAAATGTTCAAATCGTTTCAGATGAAAACAGGCCACGATCGGTAATTTCTTCATTGTAAGCTGTTTGGTAGATTCCTGGTAGCTTTGGCAGTGACTACATTTGATTTTGGCACTGCTTCCCAGGTCCTCTTGCCTTGTAAACCACTGTAGGCAATCTGTAAGAGAGGGAACTCCTGGTTTGGGGCCATTCCTACTCGCTGTGCTACTAGCCCTCTCTGAGGTATAAGAGCCAGGCAAATCCAAACTGATGTCCCAACATGGGTCGATAGTTGTAGAGACACCATGACAAACTTGACATGTTAAATCTGACTGCAAGCCACCTGTAAAGATTTGATCTATGATGCAATTACAGCAGTTGGCGTTACCTTCCTGCTCGACGCTATCATCTTTGCTGTGTCTATGCAGCACGTCTAACATTGCAATAAGAAACTCATGGGCATCCTGCTGTCTGTACCCAGCTAGATGTTCAGCGTGAATCCAGATCAGGTGCAGCAGTTTATACGGAATATGAGGACTCTGGCTCCCCGAGTACATCGCTTGAAAAAGCGAGCACATTTCACACACCAAGCATAAGCTGGGGCTTGTCATTGTACACTTGTGCTTGTCAGAAAGGAAGAAATCTTTCAGTAGTGGAGTATGGGTAAGCGCCTGGACAATACAATTCATAAAGCAAGTGTTCCCAAGATTAATTAACCCTCTGAGGCCTACGGAATAATATTCTGTCTTTTTCCTCCTCTTTTTCTTGGGTTTTACCACTGTGGTCTCCTGATCTTTCGACTCACAGGGTGATTGATTTTCTTCAGCCTCCGAGGTCACACTCTGTTGAGAGGAAACATCTACCGCGGTGGAAGTTAGCAGTCCCAGAATTTTCTCCTTTGTTTCTTTGGCAATCTGCTCTATGTCACTGTCATATACATAATCCTTACACATAAAGCAATATATAACGCCATGATAGAGGTCGACTGCTAAATTGTGTTGCTTTGTCTCTGCGTGGATATGGATATGCTTCTCAGTAAAGCATCCAAAATACACACAGGAGAGACAGGAGTGAAGTCTGTTCTTATGAGTATTACACACACGACATATGCAGGACTTTGCCTTACGTTTTCTAGTCTCCGGTGTCCCGCTCCAAATGAAACGCTGATAGATCATTCGCAGGTTCTTCCGCCAGTTTTTAGCTACTTTTAAGCTTTCTATATGTGGGCAGCCTGTGGGACCCTTATCAGACCCCACCTCCAGCAACCTGTTCTCTGAGCCCTCTGGATCCCCAGAACAGCCTTGGCCATTAGAGCAGGTTTTGCGTGTTTGGGGTCTAGGTCTGGGCCTGGACGTACGCCTGGATTTGCGCCAGGCCACCGGCCGCGACGGGGGCGGGGGTGGAGGTGGCGGCGCTGGCGGGGGAGGCGGAGGTTTGGCGGGAGGCGGGGGTGGGGCCTTGAGCCCACGCCCTCCCCGGGAGCGGGACCTGGGCTGGGACCGAGGGCGGGGCTTGCGGCGCGGGCAAACCGAGCTGGAGTGACAAGCAGCCTGGCTGCTGGAAGGGAGCACCTTCTCCTCGCTGCCACTGCCCCTCCTTGTTAAGTTCTCCGACAAGGGCTTGGGCTCCGGCCACGGCTCCGGCTGCATCTCCTGGGCTCCCTGTGTACCCCGCATCGTCTGCTCCATTCTCGCTGCTTTCTCTGCCTCCTGCTCCAAACAGGCTCCTCGACCTGCTCCCGAACTCCAACTGGCGACGGAGCGGGAGGACCGGGACGCCTCTCGAACGTGGGCCATCGGCTCAATCCCAAGCCTGGGAAGAAACGCGTCTGGAAATGAGCTCTGATTGTGGGTGGAGGGAGACAGGAACTCGTGTGGACGGCCAGCCAGGCGTCATGGCTGCGGCGCCTTTAGCCTCAGCCCCTCCCCCTGCCGCGAGCCCCGCGGGCGGCCGCGGCTCCGCCCCTGCACCCGGACTCCCGTGGCGTGCTGAGCCCGCGGCTACCTGCTCCAAAGGCCGCCAGAACTGCGGGTACCGGGGAGGGGGAAGGGGGACTGGCCTGAGCTTTAGGGTGGAAAGGATGGCAACTCTTTATAAAAGGCATAACCCTCTGTCTTTTTCGGCGCTCTGTGCAGCCTCGCTTTGGTGCACCTTTCCCTATGTTCTTTCCTTGCATCTTTAAAACCCTTGAGTCAACAATATATGTTAAATATGGCTGAAAGGAGGTTATCTTTTGAAAAACTGACTCAGTAGAAGAAAGTGTCCCCTGGCTCCTTTCTTACCTATGCTTCAGCCTCTACTCCTAAGCGCACTTGCTGTATGCCACACTCTAGCGCCCTCTCTTGCTCTTTCGTTCCTGTGCCCTCACACCCCATTTCTTGCTCCTGTCCTCTCATTTCCTAGGGTTTCCCCTAGAATTCAGACTCCCTTCACGCATGACCACCCCCATCCACAGTGCGCGACCCCCAAAATGCCTGCTCCCTCCCCCAACCTCAGTAGCTTCCCCAGCCCGCCGATTTGTAAAAAGGTTTGGGTTGTTACCTGGGGCCCCAAGGCGCTTGATGTAGAAAGTCAGCTGCTGCTGCTGCTGTCCAGGCGCTTCTCTGCCAGTCTTCTGTCTGACCTCTCCTCAGGGCTGGTCACAAGGGGGCCGCCCCCTGGCCCCTCCCATCTCCACGTAAGGGCCCCCAGCCCCGGATTCAGGCCTCCAGCAGTGATGAATGGCACCGCTGTCCCCCTAGGCAGAAAAACCCCTTCCTGAAAGGGATTCTACCAGAGGTAACAACAGCCGCAGATTTTAGAGAAAGATCTTGGACCTGGCTATGGCAATCTCTACAGGAAAAAAAAAAAAGAAAAAAAAAAAAGAAAAAAACTAAAACAACAACAATAAAAAACTAACCAAGGTGGGGTTAAGGATTTACCAAGATGGCAAATTCTACAGTATTCCTTCCGGAATCTTTAAGATTCAGATCTCAAGAGTAAAGTGGAGAGGTTATTATTCCTGAGAGTGGAGGAGAGGAAAAAAAATAAGCACATGATTCAGGCTGAAATAGACCTCAGCCCAGCAACTTGCTGCTTCTACAGGGAAAAATCATAAACACTTTGAGCCTCAGTTCATTGGTCAAAGACAGAATGATCCTAACGTGTTTTCACAGAGTGGCAGCGTAGCCGTTCTTCCTGTCATCCTTACCATTTGCAATCCTAGTATTCGGTGTTCAGGTTAAACCAGTAGATACACAGTGCCTGGCGTCAGCACACTTGAAAACACTGCAGCGGGTGAATGTGTAAAGAACCCCCTGAACAGGGTGCTCTGCCTGGTTAGATCCAGACAGCTTTCCCGCAGAGCTGATCCCAGAAATATTTTATCTATCTGCCTTCATTGTATTTCCACATACAGTGGTGCAACAAGTATCTTAGATGTATGCTGATAAAGGAAGCACTGGAATCAAGAAAATGTCTGTCTAGCTATTTGCTACATTGTTTCAGAATCTGTAAAATACCTTCCCTGTTGAAACCTAACCCAGTTCAGTCTCCCAGCCTGGGCCTGTTCTGCACTTATCTCAACACCCTTCAGCCAGTATCCCAAAGGGGAGATTGCAGCCTCTGCCTGTCCTGACTAGGACTGTGGGGACAGCATTATCAACTGGAATCCACACCTTTGGGGACTCATACTACAGCTCAGGCTTTTCCAAGATTCTGGCTTCCCTCTGAGATCCCCCCTCCTTCTCCCTAGATACAATGATTTACTCTCCAGTCAGCCTTCTCGGAACACAGAAGTCAGGAGAGGGGGGCTCTCTCAGAAGACAGGGAGGACAGCATATCGAACCACCTTCCATCCTGCAACCAGGGCTGCTGGGGAAATATTTATACAACCTCTTTCCAAGATGACGTGTCTATGCCAACCAAACATCCCCAGAAACGACTCACAGCAAGGGCTTTCTGCTGAAAGTCTGCTGCTTGCTAGGTTGGGAGGGATGGACCACCGGCCGTGTCCCTGTGTGGACCCTTCATCCCTCCTCATTGATGTGGGAGTCACCTAAGGCCTGAGGGGTAGATCCTAGATGGGTCCAAGAGGGAACTAAATTCCAAGTCAGTTTCAAATCCAGAGTTAACAAAACAACAACAAAAAACAAACACAGCCATGGCTCAGTAGAATGGAAAGGGATCCCAAAGAGACACAGGAAGCTCACTTACTAAAAAGAATTGCTCTCTGTATTCAAGTGATGTGAATGTCCCGTACAAAAGCTGCACAATGTGTAAAGCGACAGTCACATTCTGTTATGTCTATGGCTCAAACAGGTAAAACTTGATGATGGTCAACAATTGAAATTCAAGGTGATCATATTTGTGGAATAATAAAAAATATAAAATGTCTTCATCTGAAAAGGAGGCTGCCTTTGGGACCTATCCCAAACTCTGCAGTGTGTGTGTGACTTTATGTTTTTGTGTCTGTGTGAATGTGTATGTGTGTGTTAAAGTACAGCACAGCCAATCACCTTACCCTGAGATGTATATTATGCTATATATAATTTGTTTGTTCTTCAAAGGCAATTGCAAACAGTGGCGCGATTAAAATAAAAAGCTCTCAATTAAAGATTAGGGAGACATTCTTTCCTTCCCTCTTGGTGGCTTCTGAGTTGCTGAGGGTGGCTTCCTTTATCTGCTAGCATCTGTGCTTGGAAGAAAGCCTAGAGACCTGTCCTCAGGATATTTTTAAACATGAGTCCCCACCTTGCTCCTCACTAGTCCAAGCATTTGACTGTTTTTAATTTTTTTTGAAACTTTATTATGGAAACTTTGAAGCACATGAAAGCAGAAAGTGTGCTACAATGTAATCAGTGCACTCCATGTACCCATTAAGCTCAAGAGTCATCAGCTTCAACAATCATTAACTTTTTTCAAATCCTGTTTCATCTTTCCTTCATCATCATCCTCGCCTCCTGGGCCCTGCTGAGGAGCCAAGTACACACATCAAGTCCTTTCCTCTGGGAATAAACAGATAAGGACATTTTAAACATACGCTCTGAACCATAGTATAGTCAAGACGATAAGCAGGAGTGACCCAACAGCACCCAGTCCAGTCCTCTGTCTAGCCCCCGGTTGTCCCAGGGAAGGTTTTCAGGGGATGTGGAGGTCCGTGCCTATTCCCGTGCTTGCTCTGTCTGTGAGAGCCACACCACATGCGTTCCTTTGTTGGGAGAGAGATGAGCTGTTGTGTGGGCTGAAGGAAATCGCATAGAATCTTGGTCTAGATGGACACGTGGGGGATGAGAGGAGTTAAGGACACCGTGTCTCTTGAGCCCTTGGTTGACCCTGGACGCTTCTGGAAGCCCACTTCTTCTCCTGTCTACTCTAAAGTGTGTCTTTACTGTGCTGCCTTAGCCAGCCTGTTTTCAGTAGGTGAGCAAATAGAAACAAAGGGGCTTAGTAGGGCCCGCGTGCCTTCTACTGCCATGTGGTATGGTTCTGCCTTCCCCAGTGAATGCTTTACATTTCTCTGGAAAGCACAATCAGCTCTAAGGACTCAGAGTTGATTACTTCCTTCTGAACCTTCAGAGTATCAGGACTGTGATAAATCTCAGCAGGATCACTGGGGAACTTTGCTTGTCCCTGAATTCAGAGTAAATATTTTGAGTGGGGTGTGGGGATGAGGGGATGGGCAAGGAATTTTTAAAAATTATTTATTTAATAAAAAAAACCTATCTTTTCTCATTTTACATATCAATCCCCGCTCCCAGTCCTTCCCCCTTGTCCTGCTCCCTCTGCTTTCTTCCCATTGCCCTCCCCCCATCCACCTAGAGAGGGTAAGGCTTCACATGGGGAGACAACAAAGTCTAGCACAAAGCTTTGAAGCAAGAGCAAGCCCCTCCCCCAATATATCTAGACTAAGCAAGGTATCCTTCCAAAGACAATGGGCTCAAAAAAGCCAACTCAAACACTAGGAATAAATCCTAGTTCCACTGGCAGTGACCCCACAGTCTGCCCCAGGCACACAACTGTCACACAACTTCAGAGGGCCTAGTTTGTCCTATGCTGGATCCCTGGGTGAGGACTTTGAACTCCATTATTGGGACGAAAAAGGCAGCTTGAATCTCACTGGAAAAGTCCACAAATCTACTCATTATTGACCCAGTGCTCTACAGGTCTGAGGTTCTTGGGGAGTCACAGGAGACCTTGACCAGTTGGGAGAAGTGGAGGCAGGATGCAGAACAAAGAGAGGGGCACACAGAGAGATTTGGTTAGGTCACCACACTCTGCCTTCATGAAAATGTTGTAAGTGAAAGTGGGGGAAGGTTGGCAGGAGTGGGGCTGTAACCCCCAAGATTGAGCCCTGTGAGTTAATGCCATGATGATAATATACTGCAGTTTAGATGTAGAGATGCCACATGAACTCATACCTGCACCTCCAAACCCCATTCAAGACCCATGTCCTCTGTTAGAAGAGATTAGCTCCTCAGAGAGGAGCTCAGGATGTAGCCCCCTTGCTAGAGACCTTGCCTTGCATGTTGTAAACACGGGGTGGTGGCAAACGCCTATAATCCCAGCTCCAGGGAAGCTAAGGCAGGAAGATCAGGATTTTGGCTGCATAGTAACTTCAAGGCCAGTTTGGGCTTCTTGAACACTCTCCTCCCATCGCCCCCTCCAAACAACAAAAGCCACAACAACCACTAAAGAAGCATTCTCCAAGTTTTGACGGTTTTCTCATGACAGGGTTCATGGGTTATCTGAGAGTTTTAATGAGCACAGGTTAGTCACTTCGATCAATTGGAAGAGAGTTTGGCCAGCTCAGTCTACAAATAGGATGGACAGACATTCAGAGAGGTCAGCATAAAGCCATAAGGTAATGGGACAGCAATCATAGAAAGTCTAACATTGTTATTTGATATAACATCCTTTCAAAGAACACAGGAACGTGTGTGTGTGTGTGTGTGTGTGTGTGTGTGTGTGTGCATCATGATGGCGATTATATATGAAGACAGTGTGATGGGTATACACTAGACAATCTAATAAGTACTTTTGCCTCAGCTATAGACATGCTTCCAAATCCACTGTGCTGCTGTGTCCATTTCTCCCTAGTGTTCTAAGGATGGCTCGCAAGTGGAGTTAGTGGAAGAAAACACTGGATCCGTGTTCTGTCACTGTAGTAGGAGTGGGTGTTTACTAGAAAAGTGTTGGCAGGACTGTGATTCCTCCAACATCCCTAGAGAGACAGACCCTGTGTTTTAGCAGTCATCCTTAGTGCTCAGGAACTGGAAGGTGCTTCTCCCTGAGATCGGTGTGTGTTTCACAGTGCACTTCCCTGCTTTGGTTTCTCTGTCATTGTGTGCCCTCCATGCTGTCAATTAAGAAGCCAGTCACGTGCACTTTGGGGCATGCACTAATGCTGGATGGCCTTATCTTTACTAATGATACCTACGTAGGTTTGCAGATTGAAACACTAAGTTTGAAGGTTGAGTACTATTCATCCCACAGACAACGTCTGATGCAATAGCTTAGAGCCAGTTGTTACAGTAAATTTCAGCCTGGGCACTCACACTGGTGACCGCCTCGAGTTAATGCTGACCTCCCCTGCGGTAGCCAGCCACATTTTC